AATGACTTCCTGTAAAAACGGGAACAAAATATGACACAACCTCTATGCTGGAAAGTTCCAATTTAATCAACCAATCACATAGTTTACGTCATTCTAGATCTGATCAGATGATTGCATTCTATGATCTTATGAGCAAACGATCTGGTAAAATCCTTGTATTTATAGATTTTAGATAGAAGTGGGTGAATAGTAGTTTGTTGGTGAGCTTCTATATGTTATGGTCATTCCTGTGTTGTAGCTACGTATGTTTTGTAATGTTATAAGTTTATTGTTCAGCCTCTATATGCGGTTGTCATTCCTGTGTTGTAGCTACGTCTGTTTCGTAATGTTATAAGTTTGTTGTTCAGCTTCTATATGTTATGGTCATTTCTGTGTTGTAGCTACGTCTGTTTTGTAATGTTATAATTTTATTGTTCAGCTTCTATATGCTGTGGTGATTCCTGTGTTGTAGCTACGTCTGTTTCGTAATGTTATAAGTTTATTGTTCAGCTTCAATATGTTGTGGTCATTTCTGTGTTGTAGCTACGTCTGTTTTGTAGTGTTATAAGTTTGTTGTTCAGCTGCTATATGCGGTGGTCATTCCTGTTTTGTAGCTACGTCTGTTTTGTAATGTTATAATTTTATTGTTCAGCTTCTATATGCTGTGTTCATTCCTGTGTTGTAGCTACGTCTGTTTCGTAATGTTATAAGTTTGTTGTTCAGCTTCTATATGTTGTGGTCATTGCTGTGTTGTAGCTACGTCTGTTTTGTAATATTATAAGTTTATTGTTCAGCTTCTATATGCTATGGTCATTCCTGTGTTGTAGCTACGTCTGCTTTGTAATGTTATAAGTTTATTGTTCAGCCTCTATATGCGGTGGTCATTCCTGTGTTGTAGCTACGTCTGCTTTGTAATGTTATAAGTTTATTGTTCAGCTTCTAAATGTTGTGGTCATTCCTGTGTTGTAGCTACGTCTGTTTTGTCATGTTATAAGTTTATTGTTCAGCTTCTATGTGCTGTGGTCATTCCTGTGTTGTAGCTACTTCTGTTTTGTAGTGTTATAAGTTTATTGTTCATCTTCTATATGCTTTGGTCATTCCTGTGTTGTAGCTACGTCTGCTTTGTAATGTTATAAGTTTATTGTTCAGCCTCTATATGCGGTGGTCATTCCTGTGTTATAGCTACGTCTGTTTTGTAGTGTTATAAGTTTATTGTTTAGCTTCTATATGCTGTGGTCATTCCTGTGCTGTAGCTACGTCTGTTTTGTAGTGTTATAATTTTATTGTTCAGCTTCTATATGCTGTGGTGATTCCTGTGTTGTAGCTACGTCTGTTTCGTAATGTTATAAGTTTGTTGTTCAGCTTCTATATGTTGTGGTCATTCCAGTGTTGTAGCTACGTCTGTTTTGTAATGTTATGAGTTTATTGTTCAGCTTCTATATGCTGTGGTCACTCCTGTGTTGTAGCTACGTCTGTTTTGTAGTGTCATAAGTTTATTGTTCAGCTTCTATATGCTATGGTCATTCCTGTGTTGTAGCTACGTCCGTTTTGTAGTGTTATAAGTTTATTGTTCAGTTTCTATATGCTGTGGTCATTCCTGTGTTGTGGCTACGTCTGTTTTGTAATGTTATAAGTTTATGGTTCAGCTTCTATATGTTGTGGTCATTCCTTTGTTGTAGCTACGTCTGTTTTGTAATGTTATGAGTTTATTGTTCAGCCTCTATATGCGGTGGTCATTCCTGTGTTATAGCTACGTCTGTTTTGTAGGGTTATAAGTTTATTGTTTAGCTTCTATATGTTTTGGTTATTCCTGTGTTGTAGCTACGTCTGTTTTGAAATGTTATAAGTTTATTGTTCAGCCTCTATATGTTATGGTCATTCCTGTGTTGTGGCTACGTCTGTTTTGTAATGTTATAAGTTTGTTGTTCAGCTTCTCTATGTTCCGGTCATTCCTGTGTTGTAGCTACGTCTGTGTTGTAATGTTATAAGTTTATTGTTCAGCTTCAATATGTTGTGGTCATTTCTGTGTTGTAGCTACGTCTGTTTTGTAGTGTTATAATTTTATTGTTCAGCTTCTATATGCTGTGGTCACTCCTGTGTTGTAGCTACGTCTGTTTTGTACTGTTATAAGTTTGTTGTTCAGCTTCTATATGTTGTGGTCATTCCAGTGTTGTAGCTACGTCTGTTTTGTAATGTTATAAGTTTGTTGTTCAGCTTCTCTATGTTCCGGTCATTCCTGTGTTGTAGCTACGTCTGTGTTGTAATGTTATAAGTTTATTGTTCAGCTTCTAAATGTTGTGGTCATTCCTGTGTTGTAGCTACGTCTGTTTTGTAATGTTATGAGTTTATTGTTCAGCTTCTATATGCTGTGGTGATTCCTGTGTTGTAGCTACGTCTGTTTCGTAATGTTATAAGTTTGTTGTTCAGCTTCTATATGTTGTGGTCATTCCAGTGTTGTAGCTACGTCTGTTTTGTAATGTTATAAGCTTATTGTTCAGCTTCTATATGTTATGGTCATCCTGTGTTGTAGCTACGTCTGTTTTGTAGGGTTATAAGTTTATTGTTTAGCTTCTATATGCTGTGGTCATTCCTGTGTGGTAGCTACGTCTGTTTTGTAGTGTTATAAGTTTATTTTTTAGCTTCTATATGCTGTGGTCATTCCTGTGTGGTAGCTACGTCTGTTTTGTAGTGTTATAAGTTTGTTGTTCAGCTGCTATATGCGGTGGTCATTCCTGTTTTGTAGCTACGTCTGTTTTGTAATGTTATAAGTTTATTGTTCAGCCTCTATATGCGGTGGTCATTCCTGTGTTGTAGCTACGTCTGTTTTGCCAATGTTATATTTAAGTTTATTGCTAGTTGTCGCAGTTATCAGTATTAGATTAGTGTTGTATTCATTTTCCTTGGAATGCTGGAGTTGATAAGATACTGTGAAAAGTGCTTTGTGTTGGTAGTTTCCAATGTGTTGTGGTTAAGGTTTGTTTTTGTTTTTAAATTTGCATTATGCTCTGATAGTTGCCATAGTTTGGCAGTTGTCATTGGTTTGTAAGCTTTACATTTAGAAACAGACTTTTAAAATTAGGGATTCAAAATGGAGCTATGACATCTGATAGGCCGAGATATTATAAAATTGAATGGTGGAGCGGGGTATTAGTATACCTAGCCTACTGTGCTAGCTCTCATTGTGTTATGGTTGTTGCCTTTGAAATGTATTGTTTATTGTAGCTGTCATTGTGTTATGGTTGTTGTCTTTGAAATGTATTGTTTATTGTAGCTGTCATTGTGTTATGGTTGTTGCCTTTGAAATGTATTGTTTATTGTAGCTGTCATTGTGTTGTGGATGTTGTGTATTTGTAGTTTTCATCATGTGGTGGTAGTTGTTCTTGAGATAGTTGTGTTTGTGTTGTGATAAATGTGTTTGTGTTGAGATATTTGTGTTTGTGTTGTGGTAGTTGTGTTTCTGTTGTTATAGTTGTGTTTGGTTTGTGATAGTTTGGTTGTTGAGTTTGTACTGTGGTAGCTGTGTTTGTGCTGTGGTAGTATGGTAGTTGTGTTTGTGTTGTGGCGGTTTTGTTGTTGTGTAAGTGTTGTGATAGTTTGGTTGGTGAGTTCGTATTGTGGTAGTTGTGTTTGTGTTGTGGCAGTTGTGTTTGTGTTGTGGTAGTTTGGTAGTTGAGTTTGTACTGTGGTAGTTGTGTTTGAGTTGTGGAAGTCGTGTTTGAGTTCTGGCAGCTGTGTTTGTGTTGTGGTAGTCGTGTTTGAGTTCTGGCAGCTGTGTTTGTGTTGTGGTAGTTTGGTAGTTGTGTTTGTGTTGTGACATTTTGATAGTTGTGTTTGTGTTGTGGCAGTTTTGTTGTTGTGTTTGAGTGGTGGCAGTTGTGTTTGTGTTGTGGAAGTTGTGTTTGTGTTGTGGTAGTTTATTGTTGTGTTTGTATTGTGGCGGTTTTGTTGTGATTGTTTGTTTTGCGGTAGTTGTGTTTGAGTTGTGGTAGTTGTGGTTGAGTTATGGCAGTTGTGTTTGTGCTGCGGTAGTTGTGTTTGTGTTGTGGCAGTTTTGTTGTTGTGTTTATATTGTTATAGTTTGGTAGTTGTGTTTGAGTTGTGGCAGTTGTGTTTGTGTTGTGGTAGTTTTGTAGTTGTGTTTGTGTTGTGGCGGTTGTGTTTGTGTTGTGGTAGTTTTGTAGTTGTTGTCTATGTATTGTCAGAGTTGTAATTGTATTATCGAAATTGCCTGCGCGAAATAGAATTAGTCTAACCGCTGGACGAGGAATCATCTGCAAAGCAAAAACAGCGATAGTGGAAAGTTTTTAAGTTGCCGGTGTTGGAACGAAAATAAAGTGGGCATAAATATATAGGAAAGAAAGAAAGTTTATCAAAATTGTTGCAACTTGTTTGTTGCCTAGCGTGCAGTCATATGTTTCAACTGTTGAGTTTTCATGTATGTGTCTTAAACACCATCTTTTTCACAAAATACTTATCACCTCTAGAACTAGCCTTAAATAAACCAAATGATAACATTAGTTCCATGCGAATCTGTTCCACAGGACTTTTATCCCGCCAATATCCAACGTTTTGACTCTTTTGGGTTCGTACCCAGCTACAATAGGGATGTATGTCTTGTGTCTGAACTTCGCTTTGTAAAGTTAACATTTGATCCTCGGCACCTGTATTCATAGGATGACCTAAGACGTTGAAAAGGCGTTAAACCTTAACAAAACAAAACAGATGTGTTATAGTAGATATCAATACTTTATGATTGTCAATTTTGCTTTGAATTAGTGAATTATTATAGTCGAAATTGCGTTGAAGTAGTGAGTTATGATAGATACTATTGCGCTGAATTTATTTCACTTAGTTTCGCTGTTGTCGTTATCACGATGTTGACATCGATATACTATTGTGTTGTAACTGGTAGGTTTGTAAAATGTTCATAACATATTTGGATGTTTTAAAAGAAAACATTATTAAAACATGGCGATTGTTATGTCAATAAGTTACACCTCATAATTAGACACGATAATAGCGATACTTAATATAGCTTTAATGTGCGTACATTCTTCAATAGGTACACATATGTCATCATTATCTAACACAGGGCAAAATGATGTATCATTGAGACGATGTTATACAGAAATCAACCATTTATTTGTCTGTAAGATGTCTGCTATATCCATGTTCATCCTTGTAGATATACACTGCTATTCCTTCAGAGATTAATCCATGTCCGCGACGACAGTAAGAAGCTATGACGTAACGTCACTACGACATCGGTACTACTTTTCGCATAGACACCAAACATAGGCCAGAGATTTTTGGTGACGTCAATGTTCGTGAAATTACAAATGATGGCAAGGGAAGATCTATCTATCACCATCATTGTTCCGTCTGCCATGTTGACACGGATTCCAAGTTCCATGTGGTGTTGGGTGCCTGCCGTACTATTCCCCACATCAGTCTCGTCGTTGCTCTTTTGCTGTGACTGGCATGCACTTTTTACACGACCAGTGACGTCATCGCGAGAAACTACGAACGACCATGTAAAGTCCGGCTCCCATCCAATGTAATGGGAATTATCAATGGCGCTATCGCGCCCTATCCCAATCTCGAACAACAAGTTTCGCCCAGTCAAGTTAAAATATATGCTGTAGTACGCGTCCACCTCGAAACAGACGGTATCTGGGTGTTTTAAAGGAAGAGAACCCCTCACACCGTAATAGTTCTCAAGGGTGTTATTGCCTCCTGACGGCCAATCAACAGGAACGCCATCCGTGAGATTTGCCCATGGGTTGCGGGAGTTAAAAAGGGACTTCCTGTCAAGTGACAAAAACGTTCTTGGGTTCAAAGATGACTCGCTCATATGCATCGGGAAATCTGCAACAACGTTAATTAGGTAAATTAACTAATGCTTTGTTAATGACAAATACGATTTATCATTTATCATTCTCATGAGGACATTTGCAATTTTATGGAAACGATGGTACAAAGTAGTGTTCAGGTTAAAATTATTCATGACGGCGAGGATATCTGATATAGAGGGCTGCTTCCGTACGACCCACATTATATCTTAAACATAATACAGGAATATACTATTGTATCTGAAACCTGGTTCTGGTACACAAATTAAATTCAGGTTCTCTTTTGCAGATGTATGACTATCTCGGATGAAGCAGTTTTAGTTATCGCAAAAAGAAATACATTGCAACGACCATTTCTGAGGTTGTAGTTTCTATTGAATTGTTAGGAGTTTGTACCAATCATGGCATACACAATATATACTTGTAGTAAGACTGTGAGCACGTGCCGTTCATTGTGTCTTGTAGAGTTAATAGTAAGATTGTGATTTCGTGGCATTTTACTTCCTGGCAATAGCTAAAGTTATTTAACAACAAATTGATGTCAAAGTACGTTAGAAAATCGTAGTTCATTCTGTTTTAACATTGGTTTAGACCAGTTACTGAATGTCCACCCTTTTGGCCCCTATCATCTCCGATGAATCCTAAAAGGACGAAACAGACGTATGGTAAAGTGTAGTTCGTTTTTCTGTATACTGTATCTATAACCCTAAAGGTGCAATAACATGCGTGTCTTAAGTTCATCGTTCCATGTATTTCAGAGGTTCACGATCAGTATACCAAGAGACGTACATTGTCATAGGCAACGCAAATGATGAACATTAGATATTTTTTTCGCTACATAGCTATGAAAGTAACAAACATTAAATTATAACCTCGACCTTACCTTCGAGAAGAATATTATCTGGATTAGTTTGCTTCATTTCTCTAACAATCGCTGCATTTTCATCCACCCTTTTCGAAATATTTTCATATTTCAGTGTGAACTCTTGTTGGTGTTTTGTGGCGTTGTGCGTTTGTTTTACTTTCCTGTCACACACCCGTACACACTCCTCCATTGTGTGTTGGTGTTGAGTTTGCATCAGTTCAACAATGAATGGTCTGATATTTTCCATGACTTTTTGTTCTATGATTGCATTTTTTAAGTCAACACCTTGACACAAACTTTGAGCTTGTAGTTTGGAAAATGTAGATACCGCAAGGACTAGAACTACTTGTAGGAAACACATTGTCGTCCGTACGATATAACACGGTACGAAAAAGGACACGGACGACGACTCGTCCAGTTAAAAATAGACTATAAAATGTTGTTTTCCCACAGCTGATGTAGATATGGGTGGACAGTTTGTTGATTGTCGGTTTGGAATGTAAAGTATCAACCACTCAAATTATGAAGTATTTCGCATAAGGCACTCAACGATGTGTATGTGGTGTAACTGATGAGACCTACATCCTGTATCATACATATTGTCAACTTTATACTGATAAGTGCGAATGAATTTCCGCCTTATGTCGATTTTTACTTATTGCTTTGAGTTGCTAAAATGAAAATGAGGTATCTTGTTGAAATTCAGCGGACATTAATTTCTCTGGTATTTTATAATTCAGTGATTGAAAACATTGTTTTGTAAGCATATGTGCATGTATACGACAAGGCCAGATCATCTCTCTTTACGAACTGCGCATTTCTTAAAGTTTAATTTCAGATTTTTTTTTTAATTAATGTAATATTTCGGTTTATAAAAGATATCACTAAATCCTCATTTAAAAGAATTTTAACAAGTTATTTTATAATGTATGTCTTATTTGTCATAAACATATCATGTAAACATTTAGAAACATCTTTCTGTGAATCAAAGATACATGTTTTAAGTGATTTATAATCTGAAAAAAAAACAAGTAAAAAATGTGATTTGCAGTACGGTACCTATGCGTCAAGAAACGATGATATTTAACATGTGCCAACCTGATTCAGTGGATCGATAAGACCTACCACTTTTAATTGAGAGAGTGTTACCACCTCTGGTGAATATATTGATCTTCAACTCTGATGAGATCCGCCTAGTATGTTGTGTTGTGTCCCAGGGTAAACTACTTGACATACATTTCTAGGACATGCGCTACTCTGACAGGTAATCTAAACGCTTTGTTCGGGTATGTGTACACTTTATTTTCATAAATACACATTGTAAATCTAGGACAATTGTGACCAAAGACTATCGTATACTCTACAATCATGTTACGGAATCGAGTTCGCGGAACATATCCCTCCAATGAGGTGGGCGTTTTCTACTATGCTTTGAACGAAAATGAGAACTGTTGTGAAGGTAATGTTCAAAACGTTTTCATATAGATGCTGCGTTATAAGTGGCTGTTATTTAACGATACCCGTCCACTCTGAAAAGATATCGATTAAAAGCTGTGCCATATATAATGTAAGTGTTCACTTGACTTCACCATGAGAAGAGCCACTGGGTATGGTTGGTACAACGCAGGGACAAGACGCATTTTTCCTTTTCTGTGTTGTGTCCATTATTGTACGAAAATGAATTCCTAATGAAGAATGACATTTTCTAGTTTGTCAGTTTAAACGATCTCTCATCAGATATAACCTTTATTCGTTAATTGAAACTAGCACAGGCCAACTTTTTCAAAATTATGTGTGATTTAGATATTTGTTGGCTATTTGTAAAGACTGCATTTCTGTCAGTAGAGATTGCACGAAATCATCTAGGAGCACATAATTTCGCGCACCATTCTATGGACCCATTCGTAATATTTCAGTTTGACGAGACTCTAAAATAGCTTTTGTTTAGGGTCAATCATCTGTGGACACTGTCGTCATGTATGACGTCAGCTTTTGCATAGACGTTAATACTCTTGCATGTCGGGGAGTGAGAAAATATACCTGTTGTTACCTACTACATGTTGTGAGAGGCAACTAATGTGGAATACCCCTGCAGAATTGGCTTTAGCGACCACGATCAATCTGCTGCAAAATTTTGGATCTTTGCATTTTCTCTCTGCTTTTATTTTGTGTCCTAAAGCCTTCCTTGCCAATACCCAAGTTTTGGCCTTAGTGTTGAACGTTTGCCCAAGTTGGGAAGACAGTGGGTTCTGTCCTAAGGTCGGGGCATTACAAAATCCATAGCAATAGTAGTTTTAATTTCGTACTAAGCGTTAAACATTTAGGGTAGTGGCAAAGACTGGCCAACCCGTTGTCCCTTAATGACCTTAGCTGTTAATAGAACGCTAAACCAAATAAAAAAAGCAATAACCAAGTAATCATATGGAGAAAAGAAATACATGTAGTTCTATATGTGTACTATTTGTAATATAAGTTTGTGTGATATTAATTGTGACAACACCAAATCCCCTGAAAATGTCACGGACATATATTTCTGTAATTCCTTTTTCTCGTTCGTTCATTGTAGACATCCCAAGTGATACTAGCAAGACACTCTTGAATAGTCTCCACTCAACAAATAAAATACAGGTGACATATAAAATCCAGTTTTCATCTTGTGGATATTTTCAGTTAAAGATCACCGTACCACTGTCAAAACCTGTATCTACGCATTGGAACCTGTTTCGTTTTTTCCAGCTTGGCTATAGCTTTGATAAATCATTTTTGAAAAGAAAACCCGTTCTATATACATGTTATGCTTGTCCACAAAGAGAATCATGTTGGCTCCCTTAATATATATTGCTTTGCTGCTGTCATTTGTTTCCGATGTCACTGGGGGTTTATTTCAAATGTACGCATTTTAATATACGGCTTTTAGTTAAGTCGTTGTGAATTGTCCATAATGTGTTTCGAGCAAAAAATATAAAATTGATGATTTCGAATGATAAGCGTTAAACCTGTAGTGTTCTTGGCCTTTTACTCCGCTATCCATTTAGTATCAACAGTCGTTATTAAGTCATAAACGTCACATGAAGAAAATGTTAAGTCCTGTACATAACAGTTACTTTAGACACACATAAAACCAGCTGAATGGAGAAAATAGGTGTTTACTTATAACATATTTAATCCTTCCGTATTCCGTAATCTTCTTTTTTTCGATCATAAAAAAACATTTGACATGTCTTTAATCCGGCCATCGAGAAGTGGCGACCTTTAATAGATCGTTTCTGATCGGTCTGTCTGTCAATAGGGAGTCATACCCTGCCCACGGGGGTATCGGGTTTTATTCGCTCGCCTGCGTATTGGACCCATGTTACGTTTTAAAACAAGCTTTAGCGTTGTGAGTTACCTGTAAGGAAGGCCACCTTACACAAAACCTATAGGGTCGGATCAGTATGATTGGTCGGTGAGCGTTCAGTCGCACTTGGATATGTTCAGATTGAATGTATTTCTCTGTCAGGTGTCGAGGTAAAAGAATTTTAAGCGTAGATTTGATGTTATAGAATGAAACTCTTCTTACCATCTAATTTACATAAATTGTCTTGATCACATAAAAGGTTGTGTATTTTTATACCAAGAGATGTACCTCCCAGGGACACTTTAACGCGAACATTTGTCTCTATATTTTTGATGGATTTAAAAATATTCCGCTTAGAGTTTGGATGGATCCAATAAGGAAATGATTCCATGAATAATAGTGTAGCTGTTTTGAACCCAATTACATTTTCTAGCAGTTAATTTATAGATAATGCTACCTTTGTCAAATTCCGCGTGTTCCCGAGTTTAGTATTGTGGAGAGCTAAGATAAACGTTACACGAGTGCCTGGAATTCATCAATAAGGATAATACCTAGACACCAACAAAACCGTTAACAGGTACCAACAGGTGTGTCACGGTATACAGAGTAATTACCAGGTGTAAGCGTACATTACAGGTGTACCTGTATAAATTACCTGTGTATTTACGATTATGAGGTAATATTAGTGTCAATTTGTACGATTATGGACATGGATTACTGAACAGGTACATGGATTAGCCCATATCTACTCTGATGTACGGATTTGAAAACCTGAGCTAGGCATTAGGTATACGCCCAGGTGTTACAGATGTCGGCAGTTCTCCCTAGCGCGACCGACTCTATCCCATTATTACAACAATCACCTGCTCATCCTCTTCAGCTTCCTAACTCAAGCGACATGCAACGTAATTATGCTTTTGCTACGTTGCCTAGTTACCTGCAGTACACTCGCAGAGAAACGATAAAAACGGACGTTGCCAAGGATACCACGGCTTATGCCAATATCAGGCAGAAAATCAGTTCCACTAGCCTTACGATTCCTTATGAGAAAGGACTGGACACTCTTAGAGCGCTTCAACGCTCAAACAACACTTCATCGGCAGAACTTGGATCCATTTTAAAACTTCAAAAACGACGAACGGACAACATTACGTACAATAGAACTTCGTCTAAACAGATTATCAATGATGTGCTTACCCCCGGAAGACAATCGCCGCGAACACGGTTAGGGTCGGAAGGGGGCTCGTCAGTCCGGAGCACGGAATCAAAACTGTCTAAGGTCAAGGTCATTCGGGCACGACCTCCAGGCCGAAAGGACCGATTGGAGTCCGAGACAAGTAGTAATGCGTCCAGGAGCAGGCCTACTTCATATACAAGCTGGTATACGGACGATTCGTTATGGAGTGACAAACTTGTTGAAATCAAGGAACGTTACGCCGATAACAGCGACTTCATTACGTCGATGCGCCGTGACAAAGGTGACGACAAAAGCGACAACAGGAGTGACGTCACCAGTGAGACGGATCTCTCCCCACGGTTAGAAAAAAACATTTACTCACCTCACAAAATCAAAATCAAACATTCAAACAAGAAAATTCCGAAATTAAAGAAAGGACGTTTTTTACCGACGATTCCAATTCATGACGAGGATCAACGGAGCGGCGACGGACGTTGTTCGAGTCATACAGGAAGTAGCAAGTCCACCAAAGTGAATATAAACTTCTTAAGTAAAGACAATCATGATAAAAGTTACATACAGAAAAGGCGAAAGGTTGAATTTAACCTGAAGCCAAAACGAACAGTGCGATTACCACCTATACCGTCAAAAAAGGAGACAAAAGTTCATAAAAAACCGAAATCTATTCTGAAAAAATACGACGAAGCCTTCGGCGATCTTCCGCCTTCTCTTTCTCCATCTCCCTCGTCTGGAGAAACGAGGGAGGAAAACGTAACATTCAGCTGGCAGGATTATCTCCCCCGTCTTAGATCACCAGTTCCCAGTGCAAGGAGACAAGCAACGTCATTTTTTCAAAGACAGAATAACAAAGTGAAATGCAGTAAAGAATTCGAAACTGTTGCTAGTGATATACAATC